AATTTGGTATGTTATCATTTACTTATGTTATGATCCTTTTATTGCTTGTAAACCTTGGCTATTTTCTCTATATTGTTTATAATCTCGAATAACCTCAATTTGTGTTCAAATTGTTCATTCTTTGTTTTCAAAAACCGTTACAATCTACAACGCGTTTTCATTCTGAACAATCCCCCGAACAAGGAAAGAGCCATATTCTTTATATTTATTACATATATTTTAATAAATCTTCCTACAATTGAAAGACATGAATGCGTCATTGTACAACGGTACATTTATTTAAGTTAAATTCTTCACAACATTATTGATATAATTACTGCAGCGCTTTGGAATTAAGTTAAAACTTGTCCTAGAACATCAGACCGACCTGCCATATTAGATATTAACAATCAGCCAGGTCAATGATTTTTCAAATGCCATTTCATGCTTTGGAAAAAGAAAATTCCACGAAAAATTCTAACAATTTAAATTTAGGACTCTCATATTGTACAACAACCATAAAATATGATCTAAAGTATTCGTAATACATCATAAAACGCTTCGAAATCTGAAAAAAATATTCAAAATGTTGACTCTGTCTAATTCAAACTAATTTTTTTTTTCTAAATGACGTAAGCATGACTATTCAAATTCATTTATTACCTAACATCCGGTTTGATTTGTGTTAAAATTAAAACCAGAATTTAAGCCCTAGTTTGAAGTTTTTTTATTTAAAACCTTGAGTTTCTTTTAATTTTAGCTCATTTTGAGAAAATTCAATGCATCATCCGCGTACATCAATCAGTTCTGAAAATGATTTTTATTTACAAGGTGAGATGAGTTTTATTTCCTTTTTCCTAAAACCAATCATGCGCGAGGTAATAAAAACATTGGATTGTAGGTATCATATTTCAAATTGCAGGAACGCATTGAAGATACTCTCCGAATTGTAGAAGAAAGCGAGCTTTATATTGTGGAATGTTTACCGGATCAATGTAGCTCTGGCCCACTCTGACAAGATCACGGGTCCCCTTCAATCCCCAGGCGATGACTTGCTGGAACGGAAACATAAATCGTGTATTTTAATTTGTCGTAAACTGTCACTTAGCTTGCATTCGTGAGGTGGCACCCACAGAAAGGATCAGGGTAGGAGTCGTGGTCCGAGAAGCCAGTACGAACAGAGCTCCATATTTCACGCTCATGTCGCCTTAGATAAAAAACCACGAGGCGGTGCTACTGGAATCAATATCCAACCCTGTTTGCATTCGGCTGTCGTTGTTTGTGGTCGAACTTCATTCAGAAAATTTTGGTTGCCCCCGCATTAATTACGCCATTTTTTATATCCGTTTACTGAAAATTTGGTTTAAATAATTAGGGTGTTGTGACTGGTGAGTTTAGGTCGAGATTTCTTACATTAAGTTATTTATATTAAACCTAAATGTCAAAAATTTGTGAGCATGCTGGAATTCTATGGTGAGTATGTGTTTTAATTTGGTTTAAGGGAGCCGATTTGTGCACGTTCTGAAGTCTTTAACGGAGTTGTTGTATCTTAATGCCCCGTCTGAATAATCCGACAATCCGACAACACTGATTCAAACAAAGGGAATCTATAATTAGCTAATTGGTCGAACAAATTGATAAAAATGACTTTCACTAAAATTCTCACTCTGTTTTTCTCAGTAATATCGTCTAATAACTTCGTCGGTATCAGGCGCTTCATTTGTCAAGATGTCGAAGCACCTTGAAGCTCTTGCTTGCCAGAGTAACGAAGTCTCAGAGAAGCGTATTCGGGACCGCGGCGTGAAATCTATGTCACTTGCTCAGTTCTCATACGGAACAGTTTCTACTCCGTATAGCGTGAAATCTTTGTTGAGAGATCTATGAGTCCGTTTGCTGAACTGTTTCAGCCAACGGACAGTGTCCAGCTGGCCATATTCTCTCACTTTTTTCTCGCCGACTACGTGCGATCACAAGAACGTGTGATGACGGCTAAGTAATTTACTACGTCTTTGTCCCATCATTTCTCCAACAGCGCCGCCATAGGAACTGTTGGTATTCGGTATTTGCACCCCTAGTTTTCGGCGTACATTTTCGTATCATTCTATTGTTGACAAATATTTATATCAACAATTACAATTGAGATGTGCCTGACTTAAATATAATTTCATACACTAAACTAATTTTTTATTTAGGATCAGATTAACCGCTCAGAGTGTGCAATAAAAATTTGCGTTGCTTTATCTAAAAAGTTTTGTATTCGGACGGAAATGAGCGCCTGATGTTGAATATGTTCAAAATTCATCGCTTCATCGCTGAAATTTCATACGCCCGTAACATTCTTTCGATTCACGAGACGTGAGTGACACTTTGAAAACAATGGGGTTATTATAGGACCTCGTCGAGATCCTTATCATAATGAACTACTTTGACAGGATAACATTGGCATGTTGAGAGTTTAAAAAGTTCTTGAGTTTTTCTAAAAAAATAACCATACTTAGAATGTTTGCAAACACTAACTTATTAAAATATTAATCGCGCATAGAATATGTCTAACGCTATGATTCGTTCAAACGATTCTACTGAGCGGCTGCGGTTGCCATGACAGCTAATATTCTTCTTCAGTATTTCTTGTCCTTAATTTCACTTTTTTGTCTTTAGGAATATTAAAGCAAGTTTCAGTGAGCTGTATGCTTCAATTAATTTTATATTGGAAAAAATTTGGCATGGATAAGCTCTTTAGGTGGTTAAGGTTTGTATGATCTCGAAGATAAAAGTTCAGTCACGCGCGCCTGGACGGCTGAAAAAGACAAAAAAATTTCCCCGAATTTAAATTAGTATGAATTAAATGTCCTTTCGATGCACGGCACTTTACAAGCGTCGATATTTACTTATATATCATTGTGAATTACATCGACCCATTATTTAACGAAGTATTCCCTATTATTAGACAAAAGTTTTCTTTGAGAAGTTCTTTAATGGAGTTACTAATGTAATCACTTTTTCTAATATACCAGATAAAATTGTACAATCTCGGCTTTTACATTGACTCATCATCATTTGTATTCAGTTGAAACCCTATATATTGCAGCATTTCCTTTCAATTTGTACTCACTGTTAATTATATATGCTTTCATTCAGTTCGGGATTTAATTGATACACGCTTTGTAAATAACTTGATTCCCGACTCCCGTTGGGCTGCGATTGCTTCATGTCTAAAGTCTAAGTACTGGGTACTTGGAAGAGGTCCCATTTGATTTATGCAGAAGCGGTCCCCCAGAAGCGGTCCCGGAACACCAGAACCAACGAGTGTTTCGAAAATGTAAAGAAATATCATAAAAAATTATGCAGAATGCCTGAATTAACCTCGGGCATTAATTAAATAATTAATTAATGCCCGAGAGAGGTAGCATCAACTTTTGCTGGGTCTCGAGAAGAATTGAAGCTTCGAAGTTAACAGTACAGATGTCATCCTCCATGATGTGGCCTAAAACGTCATCCTTTCTTCGAGTGCCACTCAACGCAATCCTACATCACGGGCTCTGCAACATAGCAACTTGAACCTTAACTCTGCACTAAATCAGGTGTCCTTCTACGCTTGTATTAATAATAAACTTGAGCTCTGATTTTTATCTTCATCACGATCGTGATTTATAACGCGGCTGTTACCTCCTACTCCAATCTTCATCACGAATACGCCCTCTACCGCCCACCAACGTCAAGAAGCCAACGGTCAACTCCTGCACCCCTATATCACGAGTGTGTCCTGCAATGCTGTTCAACATCTCGAACGTTCCATTTAATACCATCCTTCATTACGAGCGTCCGCTTCAATCATACTTATGATGCCATTAACCGCCACCCTTCTTAACTGATGAGCTCTTCCACGCAATCTTTCTTAAAACGCACGCGCTTCTCAAAGCCACCCTTCAACACCAACATTGCGCATAACGTCATCAATCACCGCGTATATGTATTCTTCACAAATATGGTCAATACGGACGTTCCCTTCACTAGCGTTTTTCCGACGAACGAATCGTACACATAGAGGCCTATAAAGAATGTGCTCGCTGCGAACGAGCATTTCATTATGATGCCCTTTACGAACGCGCAAATGTGCTCATCTTAGCGCAGCCATTTTTCAGAATATTAACCTGATAGGAGGGTCAAGATGAGAGAAATGTTTCCGAATTCTCAAATTCCACGAGGCAGTGTTTCTCAATATGCAATTTTTTACTAAATGACTAGCGAGAGCGAGACGAGTATTAATACGGCTAATTTTCGTCCATTAATATCTTACGAATGCAACTCTTTGCAATTTTTGATGACATAAATGAGGTAATGAATCATACTAAAAAATCGATGCAGATAGGTGTTTGTATATATGTAGTGAAATGACAAATTCGTTTCAGCCTCAATTTTAAAGGAATTTTAAAAGAACTTTCACGCGAATGTTCTCTCTTATGGCTTGCTGATCAATACAGTGGATAGTGCCGATTAGAATGTTTCTTTCGTATTAATAATTTGTCACTTCTCTAATGAAGTGACTCACTGAAGTGAGTCTCTAATTTTGCATATGCCATAGTTGCCTACGGGCATAGGCAAAAGTAGCAAGGCAAAACAGTAATACATTGTAATTTTGATTTGTGACATGTGCAAGATTACCAGCTCGATCTTAGATCATCTTTTTTTTCACAGCTTCGTTATGTCTCAAAATAACTAGTTTCTTTTTCGAAATAGATATTTGGCGGAGTCTGACTCAATTCTTAAAATAACAAATTCTAATTTTTTCGGTCTGTAATTCCGTAACTTGGTGATGGCTCGCATGAAGACCGGAGATTATTTTATAATTTCCAAAACACATTGAATGGAAATAAAATCTCTGGATAACAGTGACACGGAAACATAGGTGCATGGCAGCATGTTCCTGCCGGGTTACTGAATGGTGAAAACAATAAACATCACCTATAGACCACACGAGCGACCTTCTGGTTGATGAGATACCAACGGAAGTTCGTTCGGAATCAAAACGAGCTGCGTCCATCATTCGAGACGACATTCGAGGCGTCATTTTCTTTGCTGTCAAATTTCTGCATCCTTTTCTTCGAAGTAGCTGTTGTGTGGCAGCGTCCTACGATTACTTCAGCCATAAAAACGACCATTGCCATTAAGGATCCTGTATGAAGAAAATTCATAACAACTACATAATGAGAATAACAGATACGAATGAAATAAAAGTAGGTATTCATTAAAACTTCGGTAAATTACGGGATGCAATTGTTTGAAAAATAATGTACTCGTATCATAAATATATACGAACATTTCATATTGGTCTCAAATTATTTCAAATACAATAATATTTATCTCGGTTTAAATTTTATTTGTAATTCTGTAAGTGTAACAAATAAACAGAAAAAATCCTGACCTGCACCGAAAAGTGCGAAGACTCCCAAAAAATCCTCGAGACCCAACGATCGCATACGGTTCATGGTGCGTTCGGTCTTTACAGGATTGACACAAAGAGTCGACTTCGCGTACGTATCTTTCAGCAACTTATTTATGATGCCAAATTCGTTCAAGCCCCGCAGCCTGCATGCGAAAAAGTAAAAACATTATTGAACAACTTACCAATTGTCCAGAGACCTATTTCAGCATAAAAACGCGTAAGTGATATAGGACTACGTTGCACCTCGCGTGGGTTAATAAATCTGTATCTGATGAATTATTTACAAGGAAAAATAGTTAGTTTCCGTACTCAAATATTCTATGAATAACTTCAGTGCGTAGAACCAACTGATCAGACAGATCGTAGGCTGGCAACTATATACTGCGCCTCAGACGCGCTCGATGAGCTCGCAGATGGTTCTATTGTATAGATGGTTCTATTGTGTATATACTCGTAAATTCTTTGGACAAAACGAAAGCACCATTGATTAATGATGATCTCAATGAATCCACAATGATCTTTAAGAGGCTTAACATTGGAATTTAGTTTGAAGTGAGGCTTCTGAATTGTACATTTAGAGTGGGGTCACTAATATTGAAATATTTGAGCACACCATTTAAGATTTTTCAAATTTACTTCAACTAGAATGCCATGCATGCATTTAATAGCCTGCATCATCGCGTTCAAACCTATTATTAATTCAAGTGCATGATTAACTGGTGAAGTGATGAAAAAATTTTAATAACTCACGCTTTGTCGATGGGTGCCTTCCAGGGTGAGTTCTTGGGAAAGCCCCACGCCTGACTGACACCGAGCAGCGTGCCTGGTGCCACAGTGAGCATGCAGCGCTTGTGCTGCACAATCGTAAAAGAATTAAGCATTGTTCTTGTATGGTTATATCGACACTATTTACGACATGACAGCTCATTAAAATGAATATTTCAATGCCATTGAGAATCGTATAAAAAAGAACACTACGCGCCATATATATTCACATAATTTGATAATCAGATGGCAGATGAACGTAAATGGGCATCTACAATCAAAACAAAATCTCCTCATTCGACGAGTCACAAATTTAAAGGGAAGCTTTCTGGATTCCATTCACTTATCTTTATTAGCTTGTGAACGAAGATGAGGCATCTCGTGCACTATTGGAAGTTTATTTTTGATGATAGTTCAACAATGAGCACTACAGTTTCTCATTGCATGTCCTACATGGCGGAGAATACTTGAAAAATAAGAAAAACTTACTCTTTCTACGTTGAAGTTATTCATAGGGCAACATGGGGCAGCGCGCCCCCCCCTTTTTAAACTAATATTTTGATGAAGTTTTAATTGATACGAGGTGGTTCTTTGTTTTGTTTAAAGGAATGTATGAGGGAACTAATGAGGAATGTATGATGGGAATTAGACGTCTATAGAGTCATTCAATTTTTAATGAAACACTATTTTGTAAAAAGTGTCAAAATGGGCCCATTGCCCCACCCCTGGGGCAATGGGCCCATGGGCTTGGGGCAAGGCGCCCACCCTTGGTCCCTTTACCACAATTGCATATTTTTTGTTAAAAAATGATAAAGCAACACTTTACAGTTAAAAATAAGAAAAATGTAATAAAAAATATGACATTCATTCATATATTAACAACTCAAAAAATCATATTCTTAACTTGAAAAAAATATACTCTTGGCTTAAAAAATCTATCACTGACATGAATAAAAATATTTCATTGACATAAAAAGATATGTATCCTTGACTTGAAAAATATATCTTTGCGATAAAAAATTTGTCCTTGACATGAAAAAATGTATCCTTGACTAGAAAAAATATATTTACTTGATCAGAAAAAAACTTCGTTCCAGTTTCGTCCATAATCCAGATATTATGTGCAGAGAATTCGTACGTAATCGTGATTTCAGCCAACACCATAAAAACTCATCAACTTTTGGCTCATTTGTGTTGACTGAAATTAACTTTTGGCAAGGCAAGAGTCAATAACTCGATAAGGGGTCATAAATACGCATAACTAGAAACTAAACCTGCTGCCTTGAGGTGGCACATCAAAAAACATGCAATATGAAGTGTGATTTGTAATTCAAAAAGCTGGTCATAGTTTTGAAAAAGTCATTGAGACAAATCTAATGATGTATAACACAAGACTTCACCATGGGCGCTTTGCCCCGTGACACGCGTGGGCCCGTTGCCCCACTAGGTATCATTTCAATTTATATCGTGTCAACATTTCATTTGATAAGCTAATAGTCTAAACTTGATCTCAAAATTATCCGTATAAATATTACTTTCAAAATATAATTCACAGTAATTTCAAAAGCTTCATCTACAGCTACCAAAAACAACTTTAGTTAGCAGCCAAAAATTTTTATTTGGGCCAAAACTGTAATTCACAAATAACTTAATAACGCAAACACTTAGCAAAACGTAAATCCGTACACTTCTCCCCAGTAAAACTGTCGACCGGCGGTAGAGAACACGGACCAATATCTGCCATACTTAGCGAGACACCCGCTATGGGCCATGACCAGCAGTGGGCTCGCTGCCCCATGTTACCCTACTTGTGGTTTCCGAAATATGAAAGAGCCGATCAGAACATATAAGACGAATGTATTGAATGATTAACAGCGAATTGATTATTTACTTCAACGAATCTTTTGTCCATGGTCGCGAGGATTGGGATGCGGAAGGTGATGAATGCGTATTCGTTCCGCATGACCGCGCCGAAAACCTCAACAGGATCAGCCGCCGTACCCGCGCTTCTTCGCCATAGTTTACCCAGTAGTGTTTCTGGGGCTGAGTTCTGCAGGACAATTCAAAGATATGCGCATGTTTGAAGGTTGTGTTCATTCTGCTCTAACTAAAGATAAAAATCATTGCAATATTTTTACGGTTATCGCAAAATCTGACTAATGTGTTTACTGGAAGAACCCTAATGTGTTGAACAAATTTGCAATTTTAATTTAATTTATGTAGCATAGCCTAATTAATGTAATTTTTTGTAATGTGATTGAAATTTAATTAATGCAATTGTTTAATTGTTATTGTTTGTAATAATTTTAAGTAATTGTAGTACTTGTAAGTAATTGTTGTAAGTGTAATAAATTGTAGTAGTTGCAAGTAATTGTAGTTTTTACAAGTAATTGTAAGATATATTTCTATTAAATGTAAGTAATTGTAGTGATTGTGAGTAATTTGTCTAAGTAATTTTTTCTGATGTTATGTTTTTTTTTTCTGCTGAAACACTAAAAATGAAATAAGGCATTATTTACTTAACGCAATTAAGGCATTATTTACTACACGCAACATGAATCTGGCTTTCAGTTTATAGCAAATCAGTTTTTTTAAGAAAAAGATTTCGCTAATCACTTACGCAGAGGGCGAGTTAAATATGCACAATATGCTGGAAATTAAATAATCGCATTTCAATTTAAGTGCCAAATAATTCGCTCGGATTAAGAACTATGTTCTGGAATTTGTGCGAACGAGCATTTACGCGCGTGAGTTCCACGTTATTTACATGCGATGCTTCAACGAAGATGGAGGCAGCCGGCAATTTATAAGGTATTTTCTTCTGGTTGACGAGCTGTTCGAAGTTTGTGAAGGGGATGTTGACCACAGGCGCTACCAACATGGACATCAAGTTGGACTTGTAGACACAAGTCAAAACAAATGAAGCCCAAAGCCACATAACAAGAAGTATCGACGACTGCGCCTTCCGTGCATTCAAGTCTTGTGCTGGAAAAATTGAAATTGTCATACAAATTCCGAATGTTAAAAGAGCTTTAATATGATTAATTTCCTGCCCTTCAGCTCACAATATCTACGATCGATCGATTTATCATCTTAGTCATTCGCATTGCTCAAGGATAAAAAGGCAAATTAAAGAATAAATTAAATAAGGAGAATTGAAAAATTATCGTTAAAATGGGTTTCATTTCAATAGAAACTGACTCTGAGATAGCAGCACCCTCACGGTGACCATCAGCTGGGATAATAAATTTCCCCTCTGATCCTTCTTGTGTCTGTAAAAAATAATTAAAATATAGCGGAAGCTTTAGAGAAATATTGGTACTTGAAGGTAACGTCGTATGGGATTACATTAAAAGTTGAGCAAGAACATCATATGCCCAAAAGTCCGTTCGACTGAATGACATAAATTTTGTCAACGGAAAGATGAACATATGCGCATCCTAATTTTTAGATGATGCTTTTTACAGAGCTGTAAGAATTTTCAGGTCCTGTTTCATTTATGTCAAAAATATTCTCACATCGGACACGAAAGCATTATTGCAGAAGCCTGCTGTCTTCTAAACTTTCTTTGCTTAGATCTTGGGAAGGAGTAGGTTTCAGGGCAGCAAATCAGAGAATTATTATTTCCGGTTGCTAGGCAATATATTGAATGATATGCGTTGGGTATAAGAATAATAAGTTTCGGACGACATGCGACATGAGATTCACAGGTTATCAATGCTATTACAATTATTGACTTACGGGCCGAGTTTCAGCTTGCGCCTGAGATATTCATGCGCGGCCAGAGCGAGGCTTGTCACCAGGATGCTGGAGAAGACCACCATCCAAACCTGATTAAGGAGGAATTAAACCACCGAGGCTGAGAACTTGAATTGGGTATAATAAAAAATTCTAGTTTGGATATAAAAAACACTTATCAGTCACAAATTTTTTAGTGTTAGAAGCCTAATACCATGTAGACTATTTGAGCGAATGTCCACAAACCACACCGGTCGCGTCAGGATACTGCTAATGTCAGAAATTATGTTTTTGGTGGTGTGATCTTGATATTCCGAGTAACAGGAGTTCTATTTAATAATTGGAACTTTACTCTAAACCAGCTGGTTAGCCCGGTTTTACCCGAAATAGATAAACATCGTAATTTGAGAATCCTCTTTTTCCCAATCCCATACTCGCCAAATCGGTAATCTTGTGAGTAGAGTAGGAATTAGACTGTTAATTAGGATGTGATTTGTGAGAGAATGCGATTAGCAAGATATTCATGTTCATGGGGAAAAAACCTTGGATTGTTTAGGGTAAAAATCAAAGCGACGCTATGCTTCGGGTTGCGGGGGTATATAAGTAGCGCGGCTTCTGTCAGGAGTCCATTTGAAGTCGCAAGCCAGGCAGTAAAGTAGCTTTCACACAAGGCGGCAAATACCGCGTGCAGTATTTACAGCGAAATCTTTTGCACGAGGCGGTTATTAACGCTGGAATTTATGTCTTTCAGTGCTGTTCTCCGCAAGTGGTCCTGACTGTGTCTAATAATGGCTGCTCAGAGCAAAGAAAAGAAGGATCTCCTTTTATACATGCTGTATAAAAGACAGCAAAGGAAAAAAAGAAGGCGGTGCTAGATTCACAATATAGTAAATTTAAAGCTGCAAGAAGGAGAATTTGCCACACTGTTTGGCCATTCATTAACAAGAAGAAATAAGTTTGATTATCCTTACCTCTTTTAGTAGCTGGAGCTGCGCACTGCCTGCATAAACCCTCGCCGGGACGCAGCCGTAGACCACAAATTTAATTTAACTCTTAAATAAGCACTGGAGCCAACACCTAGCTTCACCATGCATTAACTTTACTCAGCTTCAGAACTAGAAGCCGCAGACTATGCTTGAACACCGTAATCTAGACAAGCGACACACTGCAGAAAGATATTAGCGTCGTAGACCTTCAGCCACTGCTTAAGCATGCTCGCTCATAAGCTGGCAGTTCCCCATCCGGCTGTACCTAATCTGGCCTAACATATTCACGCTGTCCCGACTCACAACCTTCTTGCAGCCAATGACTGGCTCTACCAGCGCACTTGAGCCGCCTTTCTAACTTCTTGCAGCCAATTAGGTTAGGTTTGGTCCGCTCGGGTTTGTTTTGGGTAGAGAAAGGTTGCAGCTCGTATAATTTAGGCCTGAAGAGGTTAGGTCTGAAGAGGTTAGGCCTGACGACCCACTGTCTGTTACACGAGAAACTTACGCTTACGAACGACGGAATTTACAAGTGCAAGCCAGAAGAAGCTTTGCAAAAGGATTTCGAAGATACCCGCGAACGATCCTCTATACGACTCGAGTTGATCAGCTAATGGTGAGAGAACTACTCGACAGTCCACGTTCCAGCATCGTTCCGATTCAGCAGTTTTTTTGGATCTCCAGTCTCGGAATTAACTCCACCAAAGTTCGAGATTCTGCGCCAGCACAGCCGCATTACGAACACCACAGAGTAGACGCCAACGCATGATTCACCATGGCCAACACGATGATTCACACAAGGATCCACTAATAACTGCGACGGAGTCAACCAGCCCTCAGTGTCAAGCATTGGGGTATGCCGAAAGCGGTCCTCGCCCAAGACTGAGGTTTCCGGGTCTGCGCAGAGCTCGTACAGCTTCGCCATTTCACGTCGCCAAGGGCGTGACTTGATAAACAGGGAAGACTAACACAAGGAAATGTTTATGAACATATCGCAATGAAAGAGATTATCTTTCAACAAGTAAGACATCAATGAAAAAATATCCAGGACGAATTGTATCAAAATTGTCACCTGACACGAATACCTCGCTCTCAGATTTCGCCGCAGTCTGACTACCAGCCTTAAGTTAAACAGTTCTTTTATTTGACGCTGTCCAATTTATTCTCTTAGGCCTGTGTCTGATTTATTATTTCAGTGTTATTACCATTGACAATTAGTCTGTCTGATTTGTTATAATATAGGTCGTATAACTCGTATTAAATCTTTCCATGTGTTGTCATTCTTCCTGTTGTTAATTCGAGATTGCCGGATCAAGAGAACTTACAACGTGCCTTTTCTGGGTCGCCTGCCGAAGACCACCACTGCCCTGGATGTAATGGACCATCATGATTCCTGCCTTCCGGGACGTAACCTTCAGCACTTCAAGCCGTCCGTATCGGGTCGCCTGCCGAAGACCACCACTGCCCTGGATGTAATGGACCATCATGATTCCTGCCTTCCGGAACGTAGCCACCAACACTTCAAGCCGTCCGTATCTAGGCCGTGGGTCGAACCAGCCCTCGGTCGAACTGCCATACGTCGAAGGACGATAAATTTTGGAAGAGAACTATGCTATCTGAAACCTAACCTCAGATGCGGTGAACGTAAAATTACGCAATTTAACGATGCCTGGAAGTCATATTCGATCCGCGGCCTGGAGGTGCACGGCAGGTGGTGGTCAAGGCCGGAAGAGGACAAAGCCGAGTGGTGCACGGCTGATTGGTGTAGGTCCGGAGAGATCCAAGGCGTTCGATTCAGGGCTTATTGGTGCACAAAATTGGTGGTGCACGGCTGCGCTCCTCCTTTACTGACCACTACGGGACCGAACTGACAGTAATAAATACCTGCAACAGTAACGTAACATAAAACTAAAAAGTAAAAAACTCCGATTGATAAACGTAATCCCTTTAATCCCTCGAACTCAGTTAGTATTTTGAGACAAAAGTGTAACGAAGAAAGGCCCGTTCAGATCCACACTTAGTATATACACATGGCGAATTAAAAATAAAATTTAATTTTCAAATTCAACCTTCCACTTCATTTCCCAAAGTCACACGATTCCACCCTTAGGAATAAAATCATTCGGCAATATGCTAACACTATATATACGAATTATGGGTAGTATGCGCCCAGACTGTCCTATACGATATACATACAGTATATAAGGTGCCAGACTTCAAACATAAACAACAACACACTAACTTTGACAAATGTACACGAATTTTAACATAACTATAATATTTTCTGCTTTAAAATGTTAAATTTGCTTCCAATTAACGGTAACGAATGGTTTATACTTTATGGCTTTATAATTCATATATTACTTCAGTTTGAAAACCATTATGATAAGGAATATGACAAAAGTCTTTTTATTACAAAATCTTGAGGAACATCTATCCCAAGTAACGCCGAGTTCACCAGCTATTTAAAAATAATGCGGCTCAATGCTGGCGCATAAGTAAAATTATCGATCTATGTTTTTCTTTACAGATGTAATATTACCTGAGTAAATTATTCACACCGTTTGGTATTTACTGAACCACATTAAAGGACAGAGATGGCTCATTTGCGGACTGGAACACAATTAAAGTTATCCAAAAACAATACCACTATGACTGTCCCTGTAATTGGGATGAGCTTAGCTCATATGTTATACGAGAGAGCGAAATTCGTTCAAACAAATTGTTGCTTCTAATGAATTTTATACCGTTTTATTGCTACGCATATTTAGGTATCATTAGCTCTAGCAGGAGCAAACTCCAGTGCAATTATTGTTGAAGGAAATAGATTTATTGCTGTATATAGGATTTTTAAGTTGCAATGTATTAGGGTTGGGATTTTGTTTTTTCATTCTCAGTTTTCAATCACCTTAGCCGTGACCTCCAGCAGTATTTTGTTTTGTCTATCATTGTGTCTAGTGTTCCTGCCGTGGAGGTACGTTAATCGATAGCTCTGTGATTATATTTGTGACTTCAATTTTAGAAGTAAATCGTTTCGTCTTGTATTTATTATTTGTGCGTGTTGATTTGTTTATTAGATATTCATATTCTCTAGTTAGGTATTTCAAGTGTTATTTTTGTTGAGCTAGTTCCAGGAAGGACTCGATATTTGGACTCCATTATTGAACTTTTGGATTAAATGGGAAGAGATTGAAACGCACGGTTAGAGTTAGGTTTGGTTAGGGCGTTACCTATGTTGTATTTTGTTTATTTGTTCATCTCTAATTATGTTTACATTCGACCGTTTATTTATTGAAAATCCTTGATCTAGAAAAGATGAGTGAATAGCGATCACGTGCTATGTGTCGGGGAACGCTTGTTCGTGGAGAGATTAGAAGCTCCCCAACATTATTTAACATTTATTTTAGAAATAGATTGAAGAAAACGTGTGAAAAGCTCTAGTTATCCATTGATGACTGCATTAAGGAGACCGTTTATATTTTGATCGGAAATCAGCCTTCAAGAATAACCGCAATATTTAAAGTTTTAAAAATTCTATGAAGCTTTGGATCAATGAATTCCATAAGAACCAGCACCAGGGGCCACGGTTATAAACTATAAAAACTGCGTTGTAACACATCATATATGCGATAACATTTCTTCTCGTTTCGAGTCACCGACATGTGGAACAGCCTCCCTGATCGATAGCATCGTTGACGCACCGAGTATGAACGCCTTCAAGAACAGACTAAACGAAGCTATGCAGGAGCAAATGTTCAGTCTTGAAATGCCTAGCACCTTACGAGCCTTGCAATAAGTCCAGCAGCTATATCAATCAAGTTATGGAAAGATCGGGTTCAAAAGGCCAGATCCCTTGTGTAATCAAGTCACGAAAAGTACAAGAATCGGCAACAGGCCATGTACCTATTTCTTCAGTGCATACACTTCTATTATATTTGTGAATGCTAGTTTCGAAAAAACAAAGTGTCGAAAGTTTCGGTAAACTCACAACAGATTTCCGTTTAACATAATTCAACCACTTTTATTCAATTGACAGTCAGTAATGAAGTAATGGGATACATGCATCCTAAATTCTTCATCAAATTAAATAAATAATTCTTCCTCAAATAAGTCTTTTTCAATGGAAAATGTTTTCATATAATTTCTGGGTGAATTTCTTTGGAGTTCACAGCTCTCTTTATTTAGAATGAATAATTTGTTGTTTTAAATGACCATGAGAGGTCATCTTTCTGGTTTAAGTTTTGGTGTGGCTCATTTTCAATGCACTCAAAGTTTAATATTAAATGCTATTCAATTATTATTCGAAGTAACATATGAGAATTCATCAATACTCACGGGAAACGAGAAAGGCCTGAGGAAGCCAGCAACGTCGGGCTCAAGCTGAGGGTAAGCGTAGAGCACCGCATGCTCGTCCACGTCCGCGTAGCCGCTGAAGTCGATCGCCTGATAGCGGCTGAGCGAGACCGCGATGGGGCTCAGGCTAAACGCCGCTTTCTGAACAATCTCGTTTGTTCACAAATTTTGAAATTTGCAGCAGAAACAGCGTTGTTCTATAACACTGCGTACCGCTCTCTGAACAAAATTATTTGTTCACAAATTCTGCGTTGTTCTGTTAAAGTGCGAATATAATGAGCGCACACATGAAAATAAATGCTGGTGCATAATTTTTGTGAGATCCTCTTTGAGGAACAGCAGCCATTAAATTTTGCCATCTCACATGATGCATTTCATGAGATGTTGCAGTTCTTGTTGCGCTCGAAACTAATTCAAGTCAACACTGATAGTTCATATAAATAGTGACTCTATCACTAGATAAATGTAACGAACCACGGAATTTCGATTTCTCATTATGCGAGGAAAATTGAAGCTTCATAATCGTGTGTTCCAGCACATTGAATTGTTTCTATTCGAGCAATATTGTTGTCTTTAAGCACCTGGAAATCGCCATAATTCAAATCACACAATACAAAAAACATTGTGGTATAGCATTATATAATCGGGGATATCAGGTATATATTTTTTGGAAGTATCGTATGAAAACGTGGTAATTGACGTTTTTTTTGTTTGTTAGGTTTTCTGGAGATCGTAATTGTACCAAAAAGAGTAATTATTGAGTTAATTAATTAATTTTTCAAATTTAATGTATTTCTGGACTGAAATGATGTTGATGGCTTTGAACATCAGCAGTGAATGTTGAGAGCCGATCTAGTGATCATGAATTCATAACTACTTCAGTGGGATCTTAAATACGACTTCGCAATCCGAAGCAGTCTCTCTTCACCGTCGTTTGAGAGGATGTTGGCGACTTTTTTGCTTCGCAGGACAAGCTTTGCTCATGCGTTAGATTGTCCTAGTCTTTCATTTGGCTTTATTTAACACATATCAGTTATGAAGCCTTGAAGATAGCAGTGATGTCGATATGATAGGAAAAGATGCATTTGTGAGAGTCCATAGTGTTCAGACGATATTATAACCTAGCTGATTATAGGTAGAGCGTTGGAGATTGTATTGAAATTGTACATATTCGTAACAGGTAAACACCCTTGAATCGTGATTATTGATGATTCATCGAACATCGAATAAATATAATACGTTGAAATTATTAAAGAAAGGTAAATTACTTAAATAGTTAAATCAAGTGGATTGATTTTATAGCCGATTTAAAACTTTTTCCATTACTAAGGATCTTACAGAGAGTAAAGTTTGTAGTAGTTATAGATGGTTCATAGAGCACAATGTTGACCCGTAGAAGTTTGCCTAAATAAGAAGAAAGGCAATTAAAGTTGTCAGTGAGAAATCATAGAACGATGATGACTGCGATTTACTGCTGTTGAGTTCAACAGAGATCAACACGAGTTAGTATTACAATAACTTGTTCTGGATCGGACGCGTACGGCCACTCTGGTTATCCTAAGGTCAGAAAAATTTAATGTTCTCCACAGTTATAACTGGAAGACATTAATTGAAAAGTATTGAAAAATATGAAGGAAGTGCCTGATGCCCCATAACAGTTAAAATGAGAGAAACTTCAGGAGTTGAACATCATTTTAATAGGAGAATAGAACAAAACAGAAAAGCTGTAAAAACAAGAGATTGTTTGAATATTTTTGAAGGAAGAAATAGGAATAAACAATATTGATCTCTGTGTCGTTATTTATATTATTCTCTGTCCTAATTAAGCAATTACAAATCTAAAATGTGCTGTTCGATGCTATAATATATCTGAAACTTCAAAATATCTTTTCGCGTTATAAAATTAACTTAAGTTCTCATTAATTTACACTATTGGAAGTACCATAAACCTAGCTAGGAGAATCTTTCTTGAATGAATGAACTTCAGACGTAAAGAAAGAAAGTTTTCGTATCATAACTTGACGTTCCGCAGCCTTTATTAGTTAGTTTAGATTACATTAATTCATCTCAAATAGCGTTTAATTATGAACAACGCTATGAATATGAATATTTTATCAGTTTTTGCTATCGTATATTTACTTGTTCAACCAGCATTCCTATGATGCCAGTCCATGTTCCGTTGGGGAGCTTCGACCCGAAGCGGTTGTAGGGGTCCATAGTCAAGCGGTAGCTGATGCATGCAAAAAACAGTGTCATTTGTTATGTTAAAGTTGCCGAAACATTAACACGTTCATAAAATGTGAAACTAAATGTTTTACCAAGAATTTGCTCACTAATAAATTTTGAATACAGTGCAAATCCTAGCCCTAAAGGCAGATAACAGGTTGGGATTGAGGATATCGACATTTTCTAGTGCCAGGCAGTAGTACATTTTAGATTTAGTATTTACCTAGTGATCAAAATGCACTGTATGTCTAGTATAATTTTCATTCTAAACGGTTTTCAACCCAATTACTGTTTTAAAGATCAAAGTTCTAATATACTGCAAGTATATATGTATATGTTGTGCCGAAATCGAGGAATTGCCGATTCTACGGAATCGGCGGCCAGTTTGCCGAATCTGTAGAATCAGAATTTCGTTGCTGATTCGGAAAATTGGACGTTGAGTTAGAGTTAGAACATAAATTGTCAATGCCGAGGCATTGTAAACGCCACTTCGGCTGGGAATAAAAAACGTGCAGCGTTTGTAGCTGGTAGAATTTACTTAATAAATCCGTGGACGTTGATTTTCGAGGGGTGTTTAAACGAAACCAAACTGCGAGAGATTACAGACACGGTGAAAGTTCATCTGTCTAAGGCGGCTGCAAGGTGAATGAATTCCTACAATACGATAGGCCTAGACGCCGCTAATCCGCCGAGTCAATGGTTCTCTGCACATAAATCGACAGAGTTAGAAAGATTAGGTCAAGTCCGGCACAGTTCCTTTTTATTTAAATATTAAAAAAAGAACTTGGCTGACTGACCTAGCCCCAGATTCCTATAGTATAAAAATGCTGGTTCCACAGATTCGGCAAACTGGCTGCCAATGCCATAGAATCGACAATTCCGTGATTTCGGCACGACCTACATATGTATATATAATATATATAACATTATATTAGGTCTCATTAAAATGCTTTCATTACAGTGTTGTTTAGTATCCAGCATTAAGAATCATGAAGTACCCGTTTATTATTTCTGTGATACATACCAGAAGTTATAATGCTTGGCTATGATATCGAGTAAGTCGACGTTCGTCCCATAAAAATTTCGTACATGTGGCTCGAAGTCAACGTAAGGAGGGATCTGAAAATAGCTAAAGCTGTAATGAAATCCATATATTAATGGAAGGTGGTAGTTGAGGGACCACATAGATAGTGCGTTTTCTCACCGAACTATCATGGTTCAATATGGATAGATATTGATAGTGGCATACAGTATGTCAATTGATACTGAATGACAAACCTTAAGATTTGACACATGAAGCATGGAAAAGATAGTAAAATAAGTGATATTTACTACCTATAATAATCAGAGGTGGGCAGTAGTGCGCTACATGTAGCGGCCGCTACATTTTTAGTAGCGGTAGCGGCGCTACATTTAAGGCAATGTAGCGGTAGCGGTAGCGCCCGTTACATATATAAGTAGCGATACGAGGTTTTGCCGCTACAGCACTACCGCTAGATTTATAGATAAAGCCTTTTGATTTTACTTAATGGTATTAAATATTATTAAATAAAATACTTTAAAAAAACTTTTTAAAAAACCACGTTTTTCTTGTGGACTAAAAAGTAGAAAATAAATTATGGCTCGCCCCAAAAAACGTGTGTCGGGCAGATTTATGATTAAAGCAAAAAGCACACAACACACGAATTTTGGCAATTTGATGGTGAACGTACAGCCCGACCCACGTTTTTTGGGGCGAGCCATAATTTATTTTCTACTTTTTAGTCCACAAGAAAAACGTTGTTTTTTAAAAAGTTATTTTTAAAGTATTTTATTTTCCCCTTTTTAGTCCGTTGCTACACATGAAAAACGTTGTTGCGAGCCAATTTACTTGACTTGACGTACGTATCGATGATACGCAGCGTCAGCGCCTGCCCACTTCGAAAATTAATTTGTTTATAATAGTGATAAATATGCCCTGAAACGTGCAAAAATTATTGATTATTGTATTGTCATCGGGAGCTGAGCTTCCCTAAAAGTTTCAGAGCGCTAGCTAGCGGGAAAGTTGGTGAAATATCGATTGCAAGATTTGATCATCACAAACAGACAGACAGACAGACAGACAGACAGACGGACACGAAAGCGAACTAAGAAAAACGTGGTAAAAACCAGCATGATACATGCATAATATAAATTACAGAATAAAACTGTACGAAAGATTTCGGTGTAACGTTGTCAACCTCAGCCTGTTACTAGTGTCAACATGTTAGTTGTTACTTGTTACCAGTTACCACGTACAGGTATTTTTTCATCTTTCAGTTTGCTTACAGTTATTTTTACACAGTTATTTTTATATTTAACCTTCCCTACATGGATGTCTACTTTAATCTACCAATCTCAAAAATTACACTGTGAACAAATTTTCGCTACTCATGAAATTACCTGTATCTGATGTGTTTTTTGCGCTAATTCCATTTATGCTCTTGAAATTTCTCTAGCACGTCAGGTTTTCGAGTTATGCTTGTGAAAGTATTTTATGCATATAACTTCAGGGTCAGCCTTTGAAAGTGAAAGTACATTCAAAATAAGGATTGCCTGGTAAAAAAGTGATGTGTTTTGTTGGTTTCAAATACACTTTTATTGTATAATAATGGCTGAGATAATATTTTTAGTGTTTGTACCATTGCTATTGAATTTTCTGAATTTTTTCACAATTTAATTCCAGAAAAGTTTGGTCGTGATAAATCTAGGCTATTAATTAATCTGAAGTAATCACTAATTTGATTTTTTAAATTTCAATTAAGCAGTAATTGTTTGAAATGAATTGTCGAAATTGTAACAACAACCCTGACAATTTCTGTTATATTTGGGGCAAATGGACCCCAAAAGATCAGAGAAAGAAATCTGGCCTCCAAGGTGAAGATAGCATACAGGCACTATTTTGGCTGTAAAGTTGGGGACCAGGATAAAAATTGGGCACCTCATATCTGCTGTTCTAACTGCTATGTCAGTTTAACACAATAGCTAAGCTCAAAAAGAAAGAGTATGCCATTTGCTGTTCCAATGATCTGGATTTTTCCCTTGCTTCTTCCCACTTAGGAAATGCTTTTTTCCCACTTGGATTTTTTCCCTGAAAACCTTGGGGATATAAGTGATGAGCATGGTGAGCATTTTCACCAAGATATTGCGCTTTTGGAAAGTCGGTATCAAGGTCGCTTTAATCCAAATATGATGGGAGACTTTTGTTGGTTGCTACGAAGGGAGGAAGAATCTACTCACCGTCGCAAATCAAGAGGGAAAAAGCATTTCTAAAATAAATATCATAGTAATTAGGTAAGATTTCTCCTAAAACTGTTTCGATAACCATTTTTTAATATTTTGAATACATAAACAAGATGTTTGAAATGTATAATCCAATATTATTTAATCATGATCAGTTTACCAAATGTTGCATTTTAATGAATTTCATCAAAATTATTTTTTGAATATCTCGAAAACTATACGTGCTAGAGTACTTCTGTTTGCAGTTTTGAAATCAGCGACCTCGATTCCTTAAGAGAAAGGTATTTTGGTTTGAGTTATGAAAAATTTTTTTTTGTTGCACAGTGTTATCCACATATATATAAAAATTAAAAGACTGATTTTTTATAAGTATAAGTGGATAATTTTTGAGATTGGTAGATTAAAGTAGACATCCATGTAGGGAAGGTAAAACATAGAAATAACTGTAACTTTTATTTACTGTATCTAACCCGTACTAGTTCGGTTAGGTTAATTGCAATAAAATTGCATTGATATGTTTTGAAAATGTTTTATTATCATTAAATGTTTATGAGTAAATCCCAATAGCAGAACAATAAATATTTAGAGATTTCCAATAATTTTGGCCATTGTAGCGGCTAATGTAGCGGCGCTACATTTTACTGTAGGGGTAGCGGTAGCGCCCGCTACAATCTAGTGGGTGTAGCGGTAGCTGTAGCGCCCGCTACATTTAGAGCATGTAGCGGTAGCGGTAGCGGTAGCGGCCATTACATTTCAAAGTAGCGCTGCCCAGCTCTGGTTATTGTAAAGTGAATACAATTACATCCAAGGGTTAGTGACGAAGTTATGAATTATCAACTCATTAACAAGGAATGAACTCAACACATCCTTGTTCACTTTGCGGTTCAGCGGGCGCCATCAGATATGCTCATCACCTTCAAACAAAATAAAGACCTTAATTGTTCTTGCACGTCTCGGACCTCAAGTCATTTTATAGGCATGATCTGACTTTACACAGGATCAGGATGGAATAAATATAACTCAGTACTCACTGCAGTGAGTGACAGAGAGCGCATTTTCTCGTCGACGAAAACGTGGTCACGGACGGACGGACGGACAGACAGACAGACAGACATGAAGAGCACAATAGCGCATTTTGTCCATAAATGAGAAAATGCGCTAAAAATAAGATGTTTCGTTTCGTGCCGCTTCGTGAAGTTAACGACAGAATCCTGCATTCTTAATTGCAAGGGTTATGCTTGCTACAGTCTTGAAAATTATTATTTTTAGAATATACTTTTATTCATACAATATCAATAAAACTAAACAATTAAAAGGATCGTTGCCTTTACTACACTGTACTGTTAATTACAATGCGCATTTTAAATTACAACTCTACACACTCGTAATGCCTTGAGTTATGCGCGGTACAGCTGGACGTACATGGGGTTACAGTTTATTGCGGTCTGGGTAGCGCATGAAAAGTATTGGAATGTTATTAAATTAAGTGTGGTAAATTGTTACTGTTAAATTTGAAGCATGATATGTTATATGTAGACTTGTAATAGTTTATGTGAGTAAGTAGGAGCCCTTATTATATAGGGCTGTTTGTGCGCGTTTCCACGATATCGTCTCTGGTGATAATATACCTGCATGGGTCTAAGAATTCATTATCAGTGGGAAAATAGCTTTTTAGCGCATTTTCTCATTTATGGAAAAAATGCACCATTGTGCTCGTCATGTCCGTCCGT